CAGAGAGACAGTTTCACAATACAGAGAGACAGTTTCACAATGCAGAGAGACAGTTTCACAATGCAGAGAGACAGTTTCACAATACAGAGAGACAGTTTCACAATGCAGAGAGACAGTTTCACAATGCAGAGAGACAGTTTCACAATACAGAGAGACAGTTTCACAATGCAGAGAGACAGTTTCACAATGCAGAGAGACAGTTTCACTACACAAATCACTTTCTTTGTCAGTAACTTTATTGGATGGCTATTATCCACCCTGACCCCCATCTGGTGGTTCAACTTGGTGGCTTATGAGTAACATCTGCAGATAAAAAACTTCCAGCCTTCAACTATTTTTTTTATATAAAAAATAATTAAACTTAAATTTCTACGGTCTGCATTTAACATCATTCAGTCAGACTTATTCCATCTCAAACTGGTGCTAAATGCTGATAAAACCAAAGGGTTGTTGTTTACAAAAAGAAAGTCAGTGCCAGCAACTCTTCCTCCCGTCTCATCCATGCATGGTGTTCCTACTGAGTTTGTAGATTCTTACAAATACTTGGGAATTTTAGTTGATCCACATTTCTCTTTTAAAGCCCATATTGAAAACACATAAAAAACAAACTTAAATTAAAACTGGGTTTCTTTTTCAAAAATAGATCTTGTTAAACTCTGTTGGTGACGTAATTGACATGAATGCTCCAGCCAGCTGCTTGCAGATGTTGGATGATGTCTACCATGACACACCAAGATTCATAACTGGTTGTACATACTAGGGCTGGGCAATATGGACCAAAACTAATATATCAATATTTTAAGATGAATGGCGATATATGAAATATATCTCAATATATTTTTTCTAAAAAAAGGTAAAAAAAAATATATTTGAGTCAAAGCTTTGTCCCAGTTGTCACATAGGCACATTTATTAACAAACAAGTGCACCTGTACAAAATAAATGTCTAAAATAAATTATTTACACATCCATCCATTTTCTTTACCCGCTTATTCCATTTTGGGTCACGGGGGTCGCTGGTGCCCATGTCCAGCAATCACTGTGCGAGGGGCGGGGGACACCCTGGACAGGTCGCAAGTCCATCACAGGGCCACATGGAGACAAACGAGACAAACAACCATTCACTCTCTCACACACACCTAGGGACAATTTAGAGTTACCAATCAGCCTAACATGCATGTTTTTGGTCTGTGGGAGGTACACATATTAAATAATAATCCCCTTCAGCTGCACCGCCTTCACGACGTTAGTTAGCCCAGTTGTCTTTAGCCGTCTTGTTCCACAGTTGAGACTGGGACCGTGACTTTAGCGATATAAGCTGCTGCTTTATTCATGTTGCGCTGTCTCACTGTTCCTCTCATAAGGCACAGCACGGCTACACGACGTTTGACCCGTGGTTTGTCTCAGAGAAGGAGGCTGAAGTCTGTTGGAGCTGCAGCTTCACACACGCTTCACACTTATAGCGTCGTTTTAAATCGTGAAAAAGATTCGTAGTGCCGACCTTGTCGTCGGGACTTGTTGTCGGCACTGTCTACTGAAAACATTTTTCTGCTGCTCGTCTGACAATTTAAATCCAAACCATCTCCAAATAACAGCCATTGTTTGTTAGTTTTTTTGCTCAGCAGATAAGATGCTCTTGGATATCGTCTCCTGTGTTGTTGTGCTAAACCTCCACCCACCTGGAGAAGCAGGAAGCAGTGGGAACGCTCACAGGTGAGGGGCTGGGTTTGGATTCAGGGAGGGGGAAGGTGGGGCCGCGATAAGTTGGCAGTGCAGACGAGAGAAAAACAACAACACAGATTTTCAAATCCAATTATAACTCAATGTAGAAATATTGATATAGACGATATATCGCGTTGAAATTATCTCAGTATTTTTAAAATATCAAGATATCGCCCAGCCCTAGTAACTACTGTTGGTCAGTTGGTCATCATTAT